TTTCTTATTATTTGAATGATGATATAGTGGGTTTAAAAGATTTCTACTTAAACCTTGTTTTAAATTTTTAATAGTGTTTTCCCAGTTTTATTATAACTTCTGTAGAGGTTATTTAGTGTTTTAGTCAGCTTTTTCTGTGACTAAAAGACCTGACAAGAACAATTGTAGAGGAGGAGAAGTTTATTTGGGGGCTTACGGTTTCAGAAGTCTCAATCGATAGACAGCAGGCCCCATTCTTCAGGGCTCAGGGTGAGGCAGAACATCATAGTGGAAGAGTGTGGTGGAGCAAAACTGTTCACATGCTGATCAGGAAGCAGAGAGAGACTCCACTTGCCAGAAGCAAAATATATACCACAAAGGCACACCCCCAAGGCAAGCTTGGGCAATTTAGCAAGATCCTGTCTCAAAAGATAAAAAGGACTTGGTGTGTAGTTCAGTGGTGGAATATTCCTGGGTTTAATCCCCAGCATAAAGGGAAAAAGAACGTTTAAAGATGCATTTGCCTTTTAATATGAAAACCAAAATCTGTTCTGCAGTTAGAATTCCATTTTGTGTTTGTCTCATTTCTCAACTTTATGACTGACAAGGTAGGCTTTTTCTGGGTTATATTAGCTCTTTGCTTGGGATAATCAACACTTTTGTAAATTTCTCCAACTTCTGTTGCATTCTGGATTGGGGGAATTATTTTGTAGATTTGAGAGTGCACTTGCTACAACAAATAGCCCATCAACAACTGAGCTTGATTCTGTATGCCTTTTTTTGTTGTTGTTGTTCTAGGGATTGAACCCAAGGGCGCTTTGCAACTGAGCTAAGTCCTCAACCCTTTTTATTTTTTATTTTGAGAAAGGGTCTCACTAAGTTGTTTAGCGCCTCACTAAAGTTGCTGAGGCTGACCAACCTTAAACTTGGGATTCTCTTGCCTCAGCCTCCCAAACTGCTGGGATTACAGGTGTGTACCACCATGCCTAGCTTGATTCTATATGCTTTTAATTTATATTCATCCTTCTTAACTTAGCATTCCTTTTGCTCTGTGTAATAAGTTGTAATAAATTTATTATTACATTCACTTAATTTTATTTACAAAGTAGTATGAATATATTCTCACCTTGAGATTTCTGAGAAGATGAGGCAAAGGCACATGCTGTTTTGCCCCTGTCTTTCTTTTTGTATGAGCCATGAAAAATAAAAGTGATTTTGTACAAGTCAAGAATAGTATTGAGCTCACAAATCATATTTTGTGAATATGTCCACTGTTTTCTTATTTTTTCCATTATGCTATTGCTCTGCAGTTACCTTAGATATCATGCCCTTTTTTTCCCCTTATATCTTTTCTTCTATAAATAAAACCCAGAAGTTTATTTATAGTGGCTTTGAAATGAGGAAATAGTAGATACCCATGGGGCAGACACACAACTCATGTTTTTTTTTTTTTTTTTAATATATTAGTCATAGTTGGACACAAAACCTTTATTTTATTTATTTATATTTATGTGGTGCTGAGGATTGAACCCAGTGCCTCCCACATGCTAGGGGAGCGCTCTACCACTGAGCCACAACCCCAGCCCCACAACTCATGTTTTTGTGTAAAGATCTAAATTATTGCATGTAAACTCTTTGAGCCCAATTATGTCCTTCTCCCTACCTTTAGAGAATAGAGTAAGATGCAGTTTTTAAATAAGATACATTGAAACCAATGTGTCTGAACATAACAGTAATAACTCTCAAATGGGTTGAAAATTAATTTTATTTTATAATATCCTATAATAAGAATGCTTCACTGTATTTTGTCCTGGATTTTACTACTGGGACAGAGGTTACTAGGATGGTGCTACTTTTTAGAAGAAGGCATCGTTATCTGTATTTGTAGTTACCAGTCAAAAAGCTGACATCACTTACGTCTGTATTAAGAAACTTGTAGAGCTTTAATCTAAGGCAGAAGTTTACAATTAGGTGAATGTATTATTTTTGCTTTTACTTCCCTTGTATAGGTTTGGCAGTTCTCTACTAGTGGACCAATCTTTTCATCCCCATGTACTGCAGCATCAGAGCAAGAAATATTTTTTGGTTCCCATGACTTCTTTATCTACTGTTGTAATATGGAAGGTCATCTCCAATGGAAATTTGAAACTACTTCGAGGGTGTATGCAACACCATTTGTTTTCCATCACCACAATTGTAGCAATGCAATGTTACTGGCAGCAGCATCTACTGATGGGAAACTGTGGATCTTGGAATCTCAGAGTGGAAAATTACAAAGTGTATATGAACTTCCTGGAGAAGTCTTCTCCTCACCTGTAGTCTGGGAATCAATGCTTATTATTGGGTGTAGAAATAATTATATTTATTGTTTGGATTTATTAAGTGGAAGTCAAAAATAATCAAGTCCAGTTTCTATCTGTGAAATGTTTGAAAATATTTACCATGATGAGCATGATATAATATTTTATATTAAAAATTATATTTTGGTTAAGAAATGTGCCTACTTTAATAGAGAGCAAACATATTTTACTTCCTGTAGGAGCAGCATAAACTTTGAGAAGGCAAGGACAGAACATCAATATATTTTGTAGTGCTTTCTTTTAATTAGGTGTGAAGGTTAATTTGGTGTCAAAATTTTTTAATTAGTCAAAGGGATGCTGCTGTGGTTTGAATGTTCCACCTGAACTCAAATAGGAATCTAATTCCCATTGTGAGGTATTAGGAGGTAGAAACTTAATCTGAGGATGGAATTAGAGTGGGACCTTTCAGAGATGATTAAGGTTAAGTGAGGCCATAAGGGTGGGGCCCTCATCCCTTTGGACTGTGGCTTATTATAAGAAGAGACCTGAGCTAGGACATTGTCTTGACATGTGATGCCTTGTACAGGCTTGGGACTCTGCAGAGAATCCCCTCCAACAAAAAGAACCTTGTCAGATGCAGCTACCGCTCTTAAACTTCAGCTTTCAGAACTAAGAGCAAAATAACTAGTCTGTAGTAATGTGGTATTCAGTTATAATAGAAAACGGATTAAGACAGATGGGCAGATAGTTGTTAAAACACTATTTCTGGGTGTGCCTGTGAGGGTGTTTTTAGAACAGATTAAAATTTGAATTTGAAGCAATAAACTTGAGTGAAGGTCTGTCTTGACCAATGGGCCACTGTGGGTGGGCATTATCCAATCTGATAAGAGCCTAAATATAACAGAAAGACAGAAAAAGGACAGATTCTCTTCTTGAGCTGGAGTAACCATCTTTCCTGCCCTTGGACATCAGAGCTCTTGATTTGGGGGCTTTTGGACTATGGGACCTACACCAGCAACTACTACCTCTCCTAGCTTCTCAGGCCCCTGTTCTGAGGTTTTTAGATTTGGACTGAATTATATCACATGCTTTCCTGGGTCTGCAACTTTTAAACAGTAGATGATGGGACTTCTCAGCCTCGATTGTCAGATGAGTTAATTCCCATATTCCATCAATTAATCTCTCCCTATCTCCTATTGGTTATGTTTCTGTGGAGAACTCACATTAGTGGTACATATTTTATATGTTGTGTATAAGAAGTCTTTTAATATATATATATATGTATGCATATAAATACATGTATATACATACATATATAAATACACACACACATATGTACATGCACACACATTTTTTTTTTAAAGTCCTGTTGATGATATTTCTGTAGAGAACCCTAAAAGGCCAGTTGTATGGGTCTGGGTTTTAAGAAAAGACCTCTGTGGGAAAAAAAGATCGAAATATAACTCAATGGGTTAGAAACAGACAGTGATGCAATTCACCATTCACTTATTTACACTGAGATTTACAGCAAAAGCTTTTCAAAGGTAGGAGCTGTCAAATTAAGTTCCTTTTTGTTGTTGGTGTGTGTTTATGTGTGTAGCTGGGGATCAGACCAGGTTGGCAAGCACTCTACTACTGAACTACATCCTCATAATTGATATTTTTTAAGTGAACTAAAGTACCAATGTAGAATTTATACACACACACAAACACACCCCCACACCGCCACACACACTGTATAGTTTCAAATTGATCTATGGTGATTTTAGGCATTCCTGGCTACATAGCTTGAGCCCTATTCAAATTCTTCACAAGTTGGTTGCTATCCTTTTAAGTTCTAAATGTTCCACTTTTGGTTCCCTCCATTAATACTGGGAATTGCTCCCCATGACTGGCATCACTACAGGCTTCTTCACAGTTCTTCCATCTTTTGTTCAGTTGCTCCCAATTCATTCTCTTCCAATTTAAAGTGAAACAGGTTCTACACCCTCAAAGCAGTATAGTAAAGCACATCTGTGGTAGGAAGTGGGTGCTCCCATCAAGACCCATGACTTGAACAGTGCCCCAGGCAGGGGATGTTAGTGTTGGCTGTCTAAAAGACCTGTCTTCACCTTTTAGATCAGTGTATCTCAAGCCTTAATCACTTAATCACTTGGAGTTCTTGTGCACATTTGGGTTGAGCAAGGCTGAGAGTGGGGTGCCCTGATGAGCCACGCTGGAGCCTGCAGCAAAAGGAAAATCAGTACTCCTGAACCTGACTTGACTTAAAATTTTGGACTTTTTTCCACTGTGGTATTTAAAAATATTTTTTTTGCATTTTGATTTTTTAAAATATTGCATTAAAATAAAATTCTCTAGTTACTGAGTTTTTTGGCACCTGAGGCAAGTGCCTGATTGACCTTACTTCACCCTGGTCCAGCCCTGTGAGTCAGCCCCAGCTGCACTGTCACAGGCTCTTGACTAAAGCTGACCTGTCTGGACATGGTCTGCACTGTAAGGAGGCTATAGGATTATTTTGTCTTGAGACTCAAGTCATTCAGGATTGAAACAAACATTTGTCCCTGTTAATTATTTTCTCCAAAATACCTAGGAAAAGTATAATTAAGTACTATATAAAACACTTTGAAATTCTTTTTCCCAATAGCTCTGTAATTGAGACTACTTGTAGATGGTCATCAAATAAGTATAAACTTCAGCTTAAAAAGGAAATCCACCAGTGCCAAAGATCTTGTTGGTATTTTTTATTGAAAGATCTTTTCCCCTTCAATAATGGACATTTTACATTAAAACTTTATACAACCAAAATCCCAAAATAATATTAAAATCACACTAAGGTATTTTCATTAAGTCTCTACTTAGCTTTATTGTTGGTAAAAATATTGCAAGACACTTGTAGCTAATATTTCTGCTTTAAAATAAGCAATTAAACTAAATGTCACAAGAAGAGACAATACATACTATACATTTGCAGATAACTGGCTAAACTGATAATTTAATAGTAATAATATTTGTAAGAAACAATTGCACTTGAAAAATTAAAAAAGTAAACAAAAAACTCTAGTTTTACATATAAGTCTATGAACCAGAGGTTAATCATTTATAATTTTGCCAGAAGTGTATTTAAATTCAAAATAAAACAAAACAAAAACCTCATGTATTTAACAATCATCCATTTAAAAAAAAAAAAAAAAAACTCTTAAGCTCTTTATATGGTTTTACAGAATTTTCCTATAGTTTTGTTGCTCAGAAAAGACTACAACACAACTAAATCAAAATAACACTTCATTGGTATTTAGTGCAAATTTGGGGTGATGTGTAAATGAAATGTTAAACATGTACCTTTTAGAAGTTGTTAGAAATAAATATGGTGACTGCCTTTACCCCATAGACTCTTAAAAAAACATAGATGGAGCATTTTTAACTCAGGCATTTCTCCTACTTGGTATGAGACCTGAGCCAGTACAGACTTGACTAATCTTCCATTCTTTGTTAATGATCTTATTTCCTCATCTGTTCCCTGCCATTACTGTGATATTGTCCAAAGCTGATAAGATGAAAGGAAAAGTCAATTCAGAAGAATTACCTTAGCACTATAATTCCAGTGTTCTAGGTGGCGATTCCCATTAAAAAGTGTTTTATCAGTGAGGAAGTCATTGTACTAACAAATGCCTACACATAAGACTTAGAAATGCGCATCAGCATGGAAAACGTGCAGTGGGATATTAATTTCTTCCAGTAGCAATAAAAAAATGTTACATTGATTCTTAACAGTTTGAAGGTCCAGTATATATAATATTAAATCCAATTTGTAAGAGAACAACTATCCATTTGGCCACACATGCCAGCTGCTACAGTGAAGCTGAGCCATTGTTTCTAGAAAGAAAGTGCTTTCAATATGGTGAATAACTTTGCTGTCATTCTTTCTTTAAGGACAGCACATTGCATATTGAGTAAAAGTAATAATGTATACTAGAAAAGTAATAATGAATACTATAAAATGTTTTTGTAGGAGAGGAAAATGGATGTAATTCCCCCTGCACTGGGCCAAGAATTTGTACCTACATTTTGGAGTAAGAATCTATGAAAAGGGGAATATGCCAATACCATGAAATATAAAGTTAGTGCCACAGTATGTGGTGGGAAAGGATTTGCTGGTATGTTTGTGTTCTGTGTAAAGCAAATTTAGGGAAATAAAAATAAATATGTGTGGCTTTGAAATTGCAAAATCCTTTTTTAGTATGCACATGTGTATGATAATAACAAGGCCACTTAAAACTCTGAGATGTTTTTTAAAGGTAGCAAGGTGAATACTCTGAATTTTAAATGCTACTGAACATTTGACTCTAAGTATGAATTGTTCAATTATAGCAAAGAAAAAAAAAATTCCTGCAGGAAATCCTTAGTACAAAGGCTTCAAATCTTGGCTTTCTGCAAATTTTCCCTAAAGACCAAAGGGAATCTTCAGAGACATGTAATGTCAATAGCCTGACGTATCTTTCTAATTAATGGCTGGTTTAGGTAGCTGTTTATTATTATTATCTCACTTTTGTTTGAATGAGCTGCCCCTTCAGAGTCTAGAAAATGAGACTACATTAGAATAAGTGAATCCCAAGGTTCATAACATTAGATACATTAGCATCACCTCAAGAATTCTTGCCAGCATGTGCATTCCTGGCCCTGGTCTCACAGGATTGATTCAGTAAGCCTGGGATGTAGCCTGGATACCTTATGACCCACATGCTCTAGGTAGAGAGTCTCAGAGCTAGAACAAGAACTTGTAATTAATATAGGATCTCCTTTCTTTGCCACATTAAATAAAAAATGTTCCCTAGGAGCCAACTGGGCCGCATGTTTCACATGTCCTTGAGGGTACTAGTATGACAGAGACTCACACTGTGTTGATGGTATTGTGGGTCCACAGTGTGCTAGAAGAGTGAATGGATTTGCCTTCCATCTGATAGCTTTGGGGCAGGGGAATTCATGAAAACTGGACATGGGCACAGAATTGGGAGGCAGACTGCTCCTTGTGATTCCCAGTTACTGCCTTCAGGAGGATAGGCATTCTTGTTCTAACTTACATAAAATCCTTTTATCATTGTTGTAGAAAGAGTAGATGCACCCAAATATATGGTAACACTCATGTTTTGGATAGAAGAAATTAAGGGTAGAGAATCAAAAAAACATTACAAAGGTTGGCAAAAGTACATGTCCTGAATGGTGTGTGGGTGTACACATGTGGAAGGACCATGGGATGAGCACGGTAGGCTTTCAAGAGGAGCTATTAGTTTGGACATTTTGCTTCATGTGGTCCCTTGGACGGAATTGACTCTTGAGAATTAGGGGGAGCTCAAGGCACCAGGACCTAGGGTTGTGCAAATCCACTCTTTACAATGAACACCACCAGTTCAGTTTCTAAACATTATTATAGAACCTATAAAACATGCTTCTTTTCCCTAACTTGGTTTCTTTACCTCATATAAAAAATAAATAAATAAAAAGGGCAAGAGAGGAGCCAATAACAGGCAATAGGAATGGGTAAGAGTCACTTTTTACTTAATAATCTGTGGACAGTCGCTCCAGGCCTTCGCTTTTCTTTTGGCCAAAGCCAGCCAGGCTGGCTCCGTGGACACAGGGGCAGCATCTGGGGTGGAGAATCTCTTGGTGACTTCTTTCACCAGTGGTGCTGGGGGAGCTGAGTCTGAGATCTCCACTATATTTTGTTTGGAAGCAAAAAGAGAAAGGAATAAGTCAGAACCACATTAAAATTTTTTTTTTTTAATTAACAGAATTATGTGTAGTTACTGTGTATATCATAATGTTTTAAATATATATACACATTGTGGGATAGCAAAATCTAGCTAATTAACATGCATTCCTTCACAAAGTTACCTTTTTGTGCTGAGTACATTTAAAATCTACTGTTAGCATTTTTCAAGAATAGATTCTTATTAATCATAGGCACCATGTTGCACAAATATGTATCTTATCTAAATGAAAAAATTTTTTAAATATTTATTTTTTAGTTGTAGTTGGACACAATATCTTTATTTTATTTATTTTTATGTGGTGCTGAGGATCGAACCCAGGGCCTTGCATGTGCTAGGCGAGCACTCTACCGCTAAGCCACAATCCCAGCCCTAAATGAGATTTTGTAGCCCACATCTCCCCATCTCTTACTGCAGAAGCACATTTTGAATTATCGGTATGATGAGGAAAACTGAAACAAAAGAGAGGCAAGTTCCTAGGTGGGCTTCAGTGAGAGGATCTGGGGAAAGCAAGCTATGTGGTTATAACTTGCTTAGAGAGTTACAGTGATCACAGTGCAGTAAGTTCGAATTTCAGTGGATTTCTAGAAGCCTAGTTTTCTGTACACAATAGCTATGCCTGCATGAATACAAGAAATAAAGGCAAATTTTGTAATTCCTGTTATACAACCAGTCAATCCCATAAAGAAAAAGATCAAAGCAGTTTGAATCCATCAATCTGGCAGGGTTAATAGCTGCCTCCTCCAAAAAACATCCCCTGGGTCCCTCCATCTGAGTCTCAAGAATCCTGCCAGCTCTTGTGACTTGCAGTCTTCTAGGAATTCCTTTGCATTCTTTCACTTCTTTTTTTTTTTTTTTTTGTAGTAGTAGATGAACACTACCTTTATTTATTTATTTTTATGTGGTGCTGAGGATCGAACCCAGTGCCTCACATGTGCAAGGCAAGTGCTCTACCACTGAGCCACAACCCCAGTAGCTCTCACATCTTTACCAGAGCTTACAGGTTTCTGCGAGAGAGTTTTGTGAGAAAGTGAGAGGGTTCACATCTTCTCTTTGGATCACATTTAGTGACTGCCCCCGCCCCCACCCCATTGCCTACACATATGCTTCTAGAACTCAGGCAATAGTGATTGAAAGACAAATACTTCAGAAAACGTCTGTTTCATTAAACTGGAGCCACTGTTGAGTTGTGATTTCCCTTTTGTAATTCCAATCAGGCAGGGAAAGGTATGCGCTCTTCAATTTCAGAGCTTTTATTTTATTTTGAAAGAAATTCCCTCTTTCCCTTCCTGCTGCCATCCTACCTATCTTTAATTCCTATATGTAAAAGCCAATGATAATGCCTATGGAGTTTCTAGAGAAATTACAGTGTTCTAAAATGTTTTTTCAAACAGAAAGCACCCCTACCATTTCACCAAGTAGTAAATACATGTTTAATATTGAGACCTCTTTATATAGCCAGATCTCAGGGACCAGGTAACCAGAGAGAAGCGTGGCCTGGTGGTTGGGACACTGCTACAGTTTGTGACCCCCAAAAGCTCATCTTTTGGAAACTTAATTCCTCAGTGTGACAGTGTTGGAAAGTGGTGCTGACAGGAAGGTTCTTGGGTCATGGGAGCAAGCCTTCTGAATAATGATGAATGTTTTTATTACATGAATAGGCTAGCTAGCACATAAATTCACCTCCCTTTTCTCTTTTCCACCCACTTGCCCATCCATTTTCTTTCTTTCTTTTTTTTTGGTACTGGAGATTTAACCCAAGGGCACTCAACCATTAAACCATGTCCTCAGCCCTTTTAAAAATTTTATTTGAGACAGGGTCTTGCTTAGTTGCTGAGGGTCTCACTAAGTTGCTGAGGCTGGCTTTGAACTCTCCTTCCTTAGCCTCCCAAGCCGCTGGGATTACAGGTGTGTGCCACCATGCCCGGCTTGCCCATCCTCTTTCTACCTTAATAGCAAAAGGCCTTCACCAGATGCAGCTGCCTAATCTTGGATTTCCTTATCTATGAGCTAAAAAAAAAAAAAAAAAGAGAGAGAGACCCTCTTTATTAACTATGAAGTTTCAGGTATTTTGTTACATGAGCAGAAAATAGACTAAGATAGATGCTCTTTGGGCAACATTGCTGCCAAATAGGGAAAAGAGATGCTATGTTAACTCCTGGGAGGAAATATGTTCAGATTCATCTATCTTCCATGTGAGTTGTAATAAGAAAACAGTGGAAACTATTGGATCATTTTATCTTTTAACAGAATAAAGATTGTTTTTTTTAAAAAGTGTCTTTTATGTGTTAGGAAAATATGAAAATTGTTATTGCTTTGGCAACATATATACTAAATAAACAAACAAACCCCAAAACTCCTGTTGTTAATTAACATCAAGGACACAGTGCTGAGAAACTTAACTGCAAATCTTAGACTATAAGAAATGCTGTTTAAAATCACAGCAGTGAGAAGGGACCGTCATAGTTTTGCCTGGAGCATCTGAGCCACCATGGGTCACTAGGACACAAAGAAGCAGTTTCCACTTCCAACTAAGGTGTAGAGCTCCAAGGTAGGAGATTTTAGATATGAGATTTCACACATTTATCTTTTTTTTTCTTTTTCTGGGGATACTGGGGATTCCCAGGGGCATTTTAGCACTAAGCCACATCCCTAGCACTTTGGGTTCAATTCCTGACTCCTCCACCAAAAAAAAAAAAAAATTAGGCCAGTTGACCAGTTAATGTCACGTTAGTAGCTTCAAATTGGCCACAGTGGAAGAATTTACACCATGGAAAATGGCAAATGCTACTAAGAGGTTTCTCCACGCCCAGAAGAGCTGATGGCTAAACATTTACCATCATACCACTGATAGAAGGCAAGTTCCTGGTGGTCTTTATTGGATGAGCTTTATCAATATGCAAGTTTATGAATGGGGTTCTAGACTTCACTCTGTGATGCCCAAAGTGCTTGCTAGTGAGAACATATAGGAAATTAAGCATGTCCTAAGAGAAACGTGCAACCAAAATCAAACAGGAATGGACCAGCTCCCTACCTGTCACAGATGTAGGGAGAGTGTTGGCCTTTTTCAGTTGTTCTCTGCGCTCGAGCCTGGACACTGCAGTCTCAGGCTTCTTCTCTTCTGGCTGAGCTGTGGATTTGTGCAGGGAACCTGCTCTGCTGACACTGCCACTTCCAGGCTGCGGGCTCACACTGACCTGGGTGGGCAGAGACAGGGAAAGCATGTTTTCAACCTGTGACGTGGAAATGCCTGAACTGGAGAGCTTCAAGTCCTGTTCCATCTGCCAGCTCTGACCTCTGTTCCCATAGGAAGGGCTGGGACACACTTATGAGCAATGTGTGCTCAAGCCTGGCCCCCAGTGAGGGAGCAGCTCAGCGCCGTGTACCAAGGAAGGAAAGTCATTCTCCAGAAAAGCCCCATCAAGCTGACTATGAAATCAGGTTACAGAACAGGATCTGGATTTGCTCTCTGACTGCTGCTCAAATAAAATCATTTTCATATTTTTCATATACAGTACTCTCCCCTTATCCATGAGGGATCTATTCTAAGACCTGTAGATTGCAGAAATCATGGACAGTAATGAACCCTTCATATACTATGTTTTGTTCTTACCTTAGATGTTAGCAATGTTGATATATTTCATATTGTCAAGAACTTTCACCTTTACACACCAATAAAATACTCCACAGTTTCACTTTGGCATATTCAAATTGCCAATATCACTTCTCTTATGCTTCATGGCCATTTTTTTTTGTCATTGTAGATGGATGGCATACCTTTATTGTGTTTTATTATTGTTTTTGCAGTGCTAAGGATCAAACCTAGTGCCTTATGCATACAGGCAAGTGCTCTGTCACTGAGCTACAGCCCCAGCCCCTATGGCCATTCTTAAGTAAAATGAATACAATCACTGTGATACTGTGACAGTTGATCTGATAACCAAGATGGCTACCAAGTAACTAACAGGGAGGTAGTACATACAGTGTAGAAACACTGGACAAAGGGATGATTCATGTCCCAAAGAATGGAATGGGATGGCATGAGATTTTATCACACTATTAAAACTCATAAATTTAAAACTCATAAATTGTTATTTCTGGAACCACTGTTGAACTCAAGTAACCATGAAAAATGAAACCTCAGATAAGGAGAACTACTGTACTTATGTTGTGTGTGGATCCCTACTATGTATATATCATCTCAGATCAATCCTTTGTTCCTTCAATTCTTCCTTCCTCTCCTCATCCCCTCCCCTTCCACGCCCACTCCCCTCCTCTCTCTCCTCTCCTTTCTTCTTTTCTTGTGGTACTGGGCTTGAACTTGCAATCATCCTGCCTCAGCCTCCCAAGTAACTAGGATTACAGGTGTATGCCACCATGATTGGCTGGTCCCCCATTTTAAAAGTGGTCAATTTATTTACCACTCTGCTTTCTATAAACTCTATCATCCTCTCCTATCATTTCTCTTCCTGTCTGTCTGTCTCCCTCTCTTTCTTTAGTTCTTGTGACTTAAAAGAGGGTCAAACTTAGACTAACAAAATTAAAGCAGTGGAGCAGGCTACTCACGTTTTCTTTGGAGAGCTTTTCTGCCTGTTTGGCTTCTCGGGCTTGCTTTCTCTCCTCTCGGGTTGCTTGCTGCTCACGAAACCCCTTTTGCTTTTGTAGTGCTAACGTTATCCACAGTGGCTGGGCAGTTTCAACCTTTTCTGTAATTTTGGAGCCATCTAAAGAGTGCCTACTCTGAAGCACCGGCTTCTCTGTGGGGAAAAAGACAAAAGAGGTTGGCTGTGAAATTAACTGCTAACTTGTCTCAGTTCCTTACCCCCTAAGTCTTGTGGCATATTAATAAGCCTAGGAAATATTCCTTCTTCACACAAATCTGTGCTGTTGCCTGAGGGGCTCCACTGGGTGGGAAAGTATCATCTTTGATCAATAGAAAAAGGGGCATTTCTCTTCCTTAGACATGGAAGAAGCTACTTTGCAAGAAAAATAAATTTTCAGTGTCATCAAATCTCATGTCTACAGGAGACCAAGACAGTTATATGGCTCAAGGTTGTTTTTCTTTGAATTCACTGCTTTAATGAAATTTATTTTTTAGCAATAGCCATGTCCCTGCACACCACTCTTGCAGACAACATTCTATGTGGAACCCCAATGTTTGAAAGACAAACAGGCACTGCTCTGCCTCAGGAGCTGCTGAGGGTAGCAAGGCTCTGAGGAACACAGGGAGAATCCCATGATTTTGGTCCGATGCCCTCATCTGTCTGCTGGGAGTACCAGCATCCACAGTAAACCAGTTGTGCCTGAGTCTTCTGACTTCCAGTCACTGCAATGGGGGATTCACACCTGGCAGGTGGTGGTTGGTATCAGAGTAAGTATGGGGCTCTGACACTGGGCAGGTCTGGCTTTGATCTTGTGACTGTAGAAGAGCTACTTTACCTTTAGTTCTCTAATAAATAAAATGAAAATAATAGCACATGCCTTATCTGATGAGGATATTTGGAACAATATTGGTGATCGGAATATTTAGAACAATGCTTGGCATATAGTTGTCACTCTACAAAAATGAGCTGTAACTATTACTTATGTCTATGAGACAAAGGTTCCTCTTCTTTACTCTCAAGTACAAAGTAAAGAGACAATCATTCTTGAATTGGATTCTTTACCAAGTCAAAGGAAAGGGGCTTATTCTAGTCCTGTTCTTTTGTAATCCGACAGAAGTTTACTCTTTGATAGTCCAGAATCTTGCCACCAGAGCTCTTGGTCAACTGACTTTTTTATATTGTGCTCCGGGGTGAGGACAAAGACCAAATGATGAGAAAACAAATTAGGAAGTTTCAACGAGGAATTTAAACAACAATAATAATAAAGGCAATAAAAGCAGATCCTAATTAATTTTCCTTTTTCTTTTTGGGACTGGGGATAGAACCCAGAGCCTTGCATATGCTACATAAGCTCTCTACCACTGAGCTACAAACTCAGGCCCCCTGCTTAATTTTCCATCTTCTATAAGGCTGTACATAGATAATTTATCCTCATAATGAAACTTGCACATTGCAATGTCCCTAATCATCAAATAAAGATTCAGGTATGATCTAACACAAGAAAGAAAAACAAAACAGGGCTGAGGTTGTGGCTCAGTGGTAGAGCACTCGCCTAGCATGTGTGAGGTACCACATAAAAATAAATAAAATAAAGATATTGTGTCCAACTACAACTAAAAAAATTTTAAAAAAGAAAAAAATATTTAAATCAGAAGGTTTAAAAACAAAATAAAAAAGTGAAATTGAAAGGAGAGTTTTGATAATTTTTCAGTTAACTGGAAAATTTGAAAAAAGTCTTTGCCCCTCAAGCTTCTTCTGTACTGAGTTGTTTACATATACTGGAACTAACCTGATGAGTTCCTGTTTCCCACCCAAGAATTGTGGAGCACTTGTTTGTAAAACTTCTAACCAAACTGCCAAGACCTAAATGATTTTCATATAAAGCTATTATACAAAAGAGAATTTTGAACTAAAATTTCAGTCTGAAGCAGCCTGCCAAAAACATTGACTGGTGCTTATCATAAGGGTCAAAAATGCCTTCAAAATATAATTGAATACATTTGTAATTGACTAAAATGAAAAAAAAAAAAAAAACCCAAACCTCTGGTTGGGGTCAGAGGTGGGGGAGAGATGGTGGCTGCAGTTCTGTGATGGTGGGGTGTATTAGGGATACAGAATCTGTGGTTTGGATGAAGCTACCTTGGACTCACAGTGTTTCTCCCCAATCATATATCCATAAAAGTGCTTCTCCTTTCTCAAAAAATGGGAAGAAGAATAAAAGTGTCTTCCTCTTGGCAGATGGAGAAGAGTGTATGCTGGGGCAAAGGCTGTGTGAGTGGTGTCTGGGGTCCACAGGTGGGCTATGAGACAGAGATGGGCAGATGGATTGAGAACCAGGGCGCAGGGGGAAGAGGAGATTGGAGGAGATCTACTGATAGTAAGAGCATTGCAGAGAAGGAGAAAAAGTGGAGGGAGACAGGCGAGGCATCTGAGGAACCCACAGAAGAAATAGCACTGCACCCAAGAAGAATGAACCTCAAAATGTTTCACCTCTCTCCCTTCCTTTCCTCTAGCTCCAGAGCCAGTTTCTGGGATGAAAGCAAAGGGAGAACTGGCCATGTCCACATCCCCACTTAAGGGATTTCAGACCTAAGCAGGCCAGGTGGGAGAAGGGAGACATTTTTTTCTTAATATTTATTTTTTAGGTTTTTTTTTTTAAGGTGGACACAATATCTTTATTTTTTTTTACGTGGTGCTGAGGATGGAACCCAGTGCCTCACGCATGCCAGGTGAGTGCGCTACCACTTGAGCCACATCCCAAGTCCCAGAAGGGAGACATTTTAATTGAAAAAAACCTTTTTATTATTATTACTCTGGATGGAACTTATTAGTTACTAACATGAGGCTACTGTTACTGAAAATGAGGGATTTTTAATAATAGAAAAGGGACTGAAACTACAAAAAAACCTAAAAAACGAAACAAAAAACCAACTCATACAGATCGACAATTTTTTTTTTTCAGTGCTTGAAACTGAGTACAGTTCTCTACCACTGAACTACATCTACAGCCCATTTTTAAAATTTTATTTTGAAATAGGGGTGTCAGTAAATTGCCCAGGCTGGCCTTGAACTTGCATTCCTCCTGCCTCAACTTCTCAAGTTGCTGGGATAACAGGTATGTGCCACCATCCCTAGCTGTAAAAAGTGTTCAAAGGCTTTCAGAATTTTACAAATGCCAGGTGAGGATTACCAGGGGCAGCTGTAGAGTGATGGGGAGAAAATTTATCGTAGGAAAGAACTCATGCTGGTGTTACCACTGTGGACGCCAGGAAAACACCCAACTTTACAGATACTGTTGTCCACATCTACAAAACAGAGCCAAAACTATCTAACATATGTGCTGGTGAGCGTCTCAGGAATAGTGTAAATAAATGTACTTGGAAGTTGTCCAAAGAAGGACTGCTGTTGAAATCATCCAAACACAATGAAATCTTTCATTTTATCAAGGTTTTACCAGACGGGGATGCTCTCTGTCAACTGCATAACTTTTTTAGGAAGCAAGTTTATAATTCCTAACTAAAAATTGATTTTGTTGCAATTTAAACCTATTGTCTTTCATTCTAAACTCAGTGAACTCAAGTTCCTGTCTTCCAATTCTAAGGGACAGGCAAGTGATACCTGCAGTTACAGGGTTCAAGTCACTACTCCCAAAGGTTATTTCTTGGAGAAAGGTGTACTTAATTATTTATCTGTTCTGCATACCACAATAGGTAGGAATTCTAGAATGAGATGATACCAGTAATCAAAGTCTGTACATAGTACAACCCATTCCCATGAGGTGGGTTCAAAATCAATACAGTGGCTTGGCAGAGGGAGTGGCAGACGGCGTGGCCTACATATTCTGGAGGCCTGTTCAGCCTCCAGAACTCAGACCTCTTTGTAAAGCAGTGGTCTTCAAAAAAGGGTGCCTACACCCTAGGAGATTTGCAAGACAATTCACTGGGGTGAAGAAAGAAATGATTAGAATTTCTACTTATCTATTTTAAAACTTAAGTATAAAAATAAAAAATGCTTTTCTAATATTTAATACTCAGACATACTGACATACTCACTTAGCCCACATAGCCAAAGACTATATATAACAAATAGGATGTTTAAAGAATCATGAGGGAAGCTGGGAGGGCTACATTATGGGGGATGTTGGGGGAGGTTGGGAAGGACCGGCATCGTTGTTCTCACTAATTCTTGCTTTTAGCATAGTGGAAGGTTCCATAGTTAGATGATTGCATGGAATATCCTATCTCTTTTAACTAAATGATCTTTTACAAGATGGACAAATGGCATAAAAGAACTCCTTAGATTCAATTTACTACAGAATGCAAGCATCAGAAAATAGCAGAGCTCTTTGCCTGCCACTTTATGAAGAGATCAGATTTGACAAGAAGTTGGCCAAAGAAAATAAAACATGGCACCATGATTTGCAAAGCATCCACTGTTGTTACAATGAACTTCACTCCAAATATACATGATGTCCCAGGGGCGCTAGTTAATGATGGTACCACATGTATACGACCAACAAATAAATTGGAAGTCTATGCTTAACATTTTTATCCTGACGGGGTGTTCAGTTAAACAAATCTGGTCAGCCCTGGCAGCAAGTTGAACAGCAAAACACCCATGAATGGAGGCAGCAGGTCTCATAAGGCGGGGGTGTGTGTGGGGGTCTTGCTTCTATGTTTTTGGTTTTTTTTTTCCCTGTATCAAGAAAAATTCAATTGGCAGATACTGACAGCCCAAAATCTGAATGCTGGGCAATAATAGTTTTGGTGAGAAAATTACAATAATTGAAGGATCATGTCTAAAAGAAAGAAGCAAGCATGAGCTTTCTTTCTTTAGGGAGAGAGAAAGTGAGCAACAGAACAGGCCAAGCCTTGAGAGGGAATCTGCAGATGCCAGAAAAGTAACAACACAAAAGCTAATGTCAAAACTAAAAATGGACCCATCATTCAGCAGGACAAACAGAAATCATTAGGGAGAAACAGTCTAGAAGCTGCTGCTCAACATGTGCATTCAGAAAAACAAGCTAGGTAAGTGGATAATTTAAAAAGGATGTTAGGAGTTGGGTGCTGTGGAGTATGCCTGTAATCTCAGCTACTCAGGAGGCTGAGACAGGAAGTTTGCAAGTTCGAGGCCAACCCTGGCAATTTAGAAAGCCCCTGTCTCAAAATAAAAAGGATGTAGTTCAGAGAAAAAAGAAAAAGTATACATATGTAGAAAGAGAAAGAAAAGAATCATCATGGTTGGCCAGAAGTAAAGGGTGCTCTGAAATTTCTTTATAGGAGGACTTCACAATGGCAAGACTTTGGGGAGGATGTGAGGCTGCATTTGCAGGGCATTTTACATAAAATTAAGTGAAAGCTGAGCATTCATAGAGGGGACCCATAGACAGGATGGGATGTCTGAAGCCCCTAACCTCCCACCTCAGTGCAGCTACTGCCCAGAGGCAGAGCACAGACATTGGTCGGGGAAACTAGGTTTTTTTTTTTTTTTTTCCATCACTGCACATCTCCCTTAGAATGGTTAATGACATCTTTGTTAATTAGGACTATATTTCATATCAAATAACAAGGGTCTCACTATGACTATGAGTGAGTGTCCTTTGAGAATGGTGTCTGGCCTCTATCAGTCACTGGCTACTCCAGCCAGCATTTGAGGCTCTTGCATATGAGCTGGACAGAGACCAAGGCTCCACCTTACAATACCTACCTTTCCTCCCTGCCTCAGGCGTTTGGGAAGGTCTCTCTAGCAGAGTGGTAGACAGAGGTGGGGAAGAAGGTTTCTTCTCCAGCACCTCTTCTTCATCCTCTTCCCTCTTCTGTCCCTTCCTTTCCTCTGGGGGGGGTGGTGATGGTGGCTGGGTACCACTGCTCTCCTGGCCCTCTCTGGACAGCTCGCTGGGCTCAGAGTCTGGCTTCCCAGCTCTGCGAGCCAGCAGCTCTACCAGGTAGGGCCTGCTTAGTTTGGAGAGCGGGGATGGCGGCGGGGTCTGGCTGGCAGGCTTGGGAGCCAGTGCTGGTTTCTGCCCTAATGGCATCTTGTTTGCTCCCTTGTCGTGCTCTGGAGCTGGGGCCTGGCTGCTGGACGGTGGGGGTCCCGGATGGGCTGCAGGAGGAGGGTGGCTGGCAGGGATTTCAGCAGAGTCCCTTCCAGGGGTTAGGACTTGCTTCCTTTCCTGGGGGAGGGATGGGCCAGGCTTGGGGGCCATGCCCTCTGTCTCTTCGTCTGCATTGGCGCTGGCCCCGGCAGGAGGCCCCCCATCGCCACTGTCACTTGTGCTGCTGTGCCTCTTCTTCTTCTTTTGTTCCGCTTGTTGGTCGCAATGGAAGCGCAAGGAGTAGTTGGTCCTTCTCAGCTTTATTCCAAAAGGTGAGGCTTTTTCCTCTGCACCTGGCATCCCGGGGTCTGGCTTTGCTACACCACTTGTGGCCTCGCTGTGCGCAGTGCTTGTGCATTCCGTGTGGACCGCTTTCTGCGGAGGGGAAGGCAGGCTTGGAACAAGGAAAGATGGAAGGTCTTTGGCAAATTTGCACCCCTCTGTGGTGTCTGCTGGCTCGTGGCGCATCTCTGGCTTCTCTGGACCCTTCCGGGGCTCCTGGGTACTAACAGGCGAGGGCGGGGGCGCTGTCTCTTCGCCGGGCCCGGGTCTTTTTCTAATGCTCTCTGCCTCCGTATTCTGTTTGGGGGTCTCGGTGCCACCGTCTGCGAATTTCTGCCAGGCGGGCATTATGGAGAACTTGGCGTTCACGGGCGGGGTCTTGCGGAGGTTCCCGCGGGAGTCAGATCGGGCCCTGGGAGTGGGCTCCTCCGCTGGCCTTGCCTGCTCTCTGTCGCCGCGCGGCTCGCTCTCAGCGTTCTTCAGGATCCTGGACCGAATGGAGGCCCACTCGGCCAGCGCGGTCACACTGCTTTGCGACTCCTGCGGAGGCCTGGCTTTCCCGCCGCCTCCCCGGGACTCGCCCGGGGCGCGGACGGGCTGTTCCACAGTAGGGACGTCCACGTGCCTCTTCTCTTCCGACAGGCCCAGAAGGGACTTGCACGCCGTGTCCTTGATCTGGTTCAGGTTGACGGCGGGGCCGCAGAGCTGAGCTCCAGTGACCAGGATGGCGGTATGGGGGATGCTCAGGGTGGAGGGCAGGGCGTGCGAGGCTGCGCTGGCTCTGGGGGCCTTGGGTTCCTGCGCAGCCGGGCTGGGTCCCGCGTCCTTGGCGGGGGTCACGGGGGTCAGATTGACCTTGGGGAAGAGAATCTGTCTCCCTCCGGAGGACACCTGGAACGTGTAGGGCCTGGGCATGGTCTGCCTCTCATCCACCTCCCGCCACCTGAGCTCCTCCACCTTTCTCTCCTTTTCTGGAGTGGAGGCTTCGTTCTTCTCCCCCAGGGGCAGCGTTTCTTCCTTCTGCTCCTCTTGCTGCTGGGGAGGGTCCATTTTGGCTGATTCTCTCCGGTCCTCCACGACGCGACGATCATCCTCGCGAAAGTCGCCCCTCTTCCCAGGCTGCTCTGTTGCCTGCCCCGCGTCTTGCTTCTGCTCCTGCTCGGAGCTTTCTCGTTGCCTTCTGAGTTCTAGGTCTTCTCCATCTTCTGGCTTCTCCTCAAAGCCATTCTGCAGGGCGCTCCTCGGGCCTCTGCGGGCCTCTACCTGTGGCTGCCTCTCTTCCTCCGGACTCTGTGGCCTCTGTAGCGTATCCCCAAGCTCCTTCGGGGCCTCCTGCGGCCCAGGAGCCTCCATTTCCTCCTGCTGTATCAGCTCTTGTCTTCGCTTCTCTTCCTCTTGCTGCTGTCTGAGCTCCTCCAGTCGTTTCCTTTCCTCCTGCTCCCGCCTTCTCTGAGCCTCCAGCTCCTCCCGCTGCCTCTGCTCCTCCAGCCTTCTGGCCTCCTCCTCCTGCCGTTGCGCCTCCAGCCTTCGGAGTTCCTTCAACTCCTTTTCTTCTTCCTGCCGCTGCCTCTCGGCCACGCGCTGCCTCAGCTCTTCCAGCCGCTGGGCCTCTTCCTGCAGGGGACTCCGTTCCTTAGCCTCCAGGCGCTCTCTGTCCTCCGGCTCCCTCTGCTCTTGTTCTCGGCAACCTTGCTCTTCTGGGCCCCGCTGCAGCCCTTCCCCAGGCCCCCTTTCCTTTTCCATTTCTAGCTGGAGTTCCTCCTCTTCGCCCCCCACTTCATCGCCCTCCTCCTCCAAGAGCTCCTGCCTTCTGTTCTCTTCCCACAGCCTCCTCTCCAGGGCCTGCTGCCTCTGCTCTTCCAGGCGTCTCTTCTCTGCTGCTTCTGCCTTTTGCCTCTTGCACTTGGCCTCTAGTTCTCGCCAGTAGTCTTCTTGGTGTCTCTTCTCTTCCTCAGAATCCAACAGCTCCGGTTCCTCTTCAAGCCACATGTGCTTGTCTTCTCCTGGGTGTCCATTTTGGTCCAGGGAAGGCTGCCTATCAAGGCCACCTGGTTCATTTTGTCGATCCTAACAGGGGGAAGGGAAATAGAATTAGTCTTTCACTTTTCTCGCAGAAAACCCTTACTCTTCCTATTCACAATGCAGGCGGCCCTGTCAGTCTCAAAAGGGACAGGTGTTCTCACACAGCAGTCTCCCCTTATCCAAGGTTTTGCTTCCCATGATTTCAGTTACCTGCCCTTAACCAAATATTAAATGGAAGTTCCTGGAATAATTTACACATTTTAAATAACACAAACACACACACACTCTCTCTCTCTTTTAATTCCTTTCAGATGACGACTTGCCGCCACTGTTGCCTAGGCTGGACTTGAATTTGTAAATCCTCCTGCCTCAGCCTCCCCAGCAGCTGGGATTACAGGTGTATGCCACTGTGTCCAACATTTACTTTTATTACAGTAAATTGTTATAATTGTTGTTAATCTCTTACCTAATTTATAAATTAATCTCTTGTCTAATTTATAAACTGCATAATAGGGATGTATAAGAAACAACATGGCCTATGTAGTATCCAGAACTATTCGAGGCTTCAGGTCTCCATTAGGAATCTTGGAAGTTTCCTCAATGGATAGAATATGGAATAGTGTGAAGGTGAAATCAGGCAAGGGTCACACCAAGCAAGAGTAAACTGGGAGGGAAAAACTTCCTCTTTATGGTCTACCCTCTAGCCCTTCTATCATTTCCAAATTCCTTTTTCTTAATATAAATGAACACCAGGAAAATAGATAGCCCAAAAGTAGGAAGATGGGGACTGGGGATGTGGCTCAAGTGGTAGCGCGCTCGCCTAGCATGCGTGAGGCACTGGGTTCGATTCTCAGTGTTTCCACAGGGAGAACAGCAGCCGATTTGGATTCCAGAAAGATTAACTAAAGCGATTTCTACAGACCAAAAAGAAGATGATTTGGCTCAAATCCATAACAACTGATATCCAAAACTCCAGTTTGGCTATTCTTACATCTGCAACAGAACCAGGATGCTTTTTTCAATATCTATTTTATTATTGCCCTTTGCCATATCATGAAGTTCTATTTTGTTTTTTGAGCTCATACAGACCTAGGTTAATGTTTTGCTGATCAGTTCTATTTTTTGACTATAGAGTTTTTAAACATTGCAATGGAGATTTCACCTGTAAAAAGTTATAAGGCCTTTACTATAATGTTATGTGTTGTATGTATTATATTATGTGTGCACACTTGTGTTTTGTGTTATATGTTTGAATGTATGTATGTCCATATATCATATAAGGTGAGCGCTCATGATAAAATGGATCCAAATATTTTTTTTTCACGTGATTTATATGGTTTAATTTAAATTGGGTAAACAACTGTTGAGGATTGTTTTAATATGTAAACAAAAAAGAAGGTTAACAGATCTGTTTGTTTACTTTCACCTTTCCTTTTCATTATATTTAATAATTCTCTTAAAGATAATGTAAATTGTTAAGAAAATTGTTTTCTTTTAGTGCCTTCTGGAATGTTACATAATTTTTTCTTTAGCCATTATTGCCAGAATTCCTATCTTCATCCCAGTGCTGGTGAAGTCAAAGATAAAACCAATCTACAGCTTCTACAATAGCCATCACTGAACTGCTTGCAGAACTTGCCTGGACACATTGTGAGCTCACCTGTATGCATTGTGAACTATCTGTTGGTACAGCGAATTGTGGTAGTGCTGGAGTATTTTTGCTGATGGTGTCACCGGTGGTACAATTTTTCAAAGGAGCCCTCAATTGGCTTAATGTCATGGCATTTTGCATCCTCCTCTACTAGTGATGGTCTAAAATTTGGGGGCCAACAGAGGTGAGGCAAAGAACCTCACCCCCCCACAGGTGCAAAGGCCTATCCACAAGTATGGCTGTATGCTGGACCGGTAGTCAGTGACGGGTATGATCCAATTGCAGTGGTACCAACCTAAGACAGGAGGCTGACGCCTAGAGGTCAGTTCATCCGATGACGGGTAAGGACCATATGTTGAATTGGACTGCCTAACAGGCACGGTCCCTAAGCCACATGCTTGTTGTTTAAACAGAGAGGGGGAGATGTTGAGAGCCACAGCCAAAGGGGCCCCAGCAAACTTCCAGCTGCCAGCAAACTTCCAGCTGCTGGCTGATGATTGGCTCACAGCGGCCCCAGCAACATCTAGCTGATTGGCTCCTCGGCCCCAGCAACATCTAGCTGATTGGCTCCTCTGCGGTGATGCTCATTGGGCTGTTTCCCTGCCCTTTCAGACCACGGAGCTGCTCATTGGGGGACTTTTTTGGCTCCGCCCACGTGACCCAGCCAATCGGCCTCAAGAGCAGGAGGATTGTGGGAGGTGGAGAGAAGCTTGTGTGGGAGAGAGAGGCTTGTGGAAAGCCGGTGGTGGCAGTTGAGGCTCTGAGGGTTTTTCCTGAGAGGCTGTTTTGTTTGGCGTGTGTGGTTCTAAAAATAAAGTTAGTTTCTTTTGACAAGTGGCTCCTGATTGTGCCCAGCCAGACTGCGGCAGTAGCGCGCTCGCCTAGCATGCGTGAGGCACTGGGTTCGATTCTCAGCACCACATAAAAGTAAAATAAAAGATATTGTGTCCACCTAAAAATAAAAAATAAACATTAAAAAAAAGTAGGAAGATGAACAAAGAAAGAGATTTGGGTCAGGCATGTGGTGCTTGCCTATAATTCCAACTACTTGGGAGGTTGAGGTGGAGCAATGGCCAGTCTGAGGCTCAGTCTGGGCAATTTCATGAAATTTGTCTCACAATAAAAAATAAAAAAAGGCAGGGGATGTAGTGCAGTGGTAGAGCACCCCTGAATTCAATCCCTAGTATCTGCCTCCCCCAACATATACACACAAAAAGAATAAGAGAGATTTGAATTTCATTAATGTCCCCTGAAGCCCAGTGCTTAGAAGTCTACCCTAGTCAGACTAAAGGCCTTTTGGCTAGAAAGGCAAGCTCTCTACCCGTGACCTCCCCCTCCGAAGTCCACCAGCCTCATCTCAGAAAGGGCAGTGGAGACAGACCTGCAGATTCCCACATGCAGGTACACTCAAGTTCCCAATGTGCAGAGACCTAGATCCTTCTAGGGCTCCACCCCAACACCAATGCACTTGGCAGAATTAGTGCCCGGCAAGCAAGGGCACCTGTCAGGTCAGCCAGGACATGCTCTACGCACCCGGGCAAGCCGCCTGTGCTTCTTTGACACCCTCTGGTTTTTTGGCTTAACAGACAGTTTGTGCTTGGCAGCACTGTTGTCCAGGCGAGCGATGGCCAGGGGGATGGCATCGAGGTTGACACTTTCAATGGTGCCAGCAGAAGAGAAGTGTCTTTTTGGCCGAGACGGTTTAACTGGAGCAACCTACAGCACAGATTAAGATATAAGGTCAGTCTGGATCAGAATGCCTTGCAGGGAATCCAGCGACAGCAGCGCTCTATCTTGTGTCTGCCCAGCTTGGCCCAGGAAACACTGGCAAGCAGGAGGGCTGGGGTACAGTGAAATGAGCCCTAGTTTTGGAATCAAAGGACAGGATGCTATTTGTTCTGCCAATGGTGACTGTATTTACTTGTGAGGGTCATTTAATCTTTATATGACTAATTTTCCTACTCTGATTGATATGGGTAATAGTAAATGGAGAGCCAAAGCACCTGCAGCCTATTTTTGATAAACAGAATTTTACTGGTCCACAGCCATGCCCACTGTCTTTGACTGCTTTTGTGCTACAAAGGACAGCACAAAGGAGAGTCATGCTGTGTGGCTTAACGTCACAAGCCTAAAATGATTAGTGGTTGCTGGTTCCTGGACGAGATCACCTCTGTGCTAAGAACTCTTTAACTCTCAGACACTGTGTACATGTACACTGCTCCTATGTAGGACTTCAGTTCCTTCAAGGCAGGAAGGAATCTTTTTCATCTCTGTCCCAGTTCTTTTTCTGCTCAAGCAGAAAATCTCATTTGGTAAGTGATCAGTACATACTTGTTCAAGGAATGAAGGCAAAGTAAAGTATAATGTTCCCATCTAGGACTTGGCAAAAATGTTTTGACATAATCATTCCAAAGTCACAGAGTACTGAGTGTACCAAAAAGCTAAAAGAAAAAGGGCCCTAAATTAGGTGTGGTGGTCCATGCCCGTATTCCCATGTTCAAGGCCAGTCTCAGCAATTTAGCAAGGCCCTAAGCAACTTAGCAAGACTCTGTCTCAAAATAAAAAATAAAAAGGACCGGGCTCAACGTAGCTCAATGGTAAAGTGCCTCTGGGCTCAAAACCCAGTTACAAATAAAGAAATAAATAAAGAAGGAAAAAGGTTTCTGGTGGAAAAAAAATGTGGTGAAAATGTGCCTCTTGGGCAGGTGCAATTCTTCAAAGGATGAACTGCAGAACAGACTGCAGTTCTGGAATACAAATGCAACCACTAAAAAAAACCACTGTCTCAGATTACACATTTAGAAAGATCCGAGCTGCCGTGGCAACTGAACAAGAAGCCACACTAAATGAGAAGGTAGGAAGCCAGGCCTGTAACTGCAGAGAATTTAGATGGTGAGAAAGGGACTCCTGGGTATACAATGCCAACTTGCAGCAGGGGATGCTCACAGCCCCATCTGCCACAGTCGGCAGTTTGCACACACAAGGGCAGCCTGCCCTGGACTGGAAGGGACAGGGTTCATGTGTTTGTGCTTGTGCTGGCAGTGCAGAGTTGATGAGGTTTAGCTGAAGGGCCTGCTTTTTGTAATTACCCTCCATATTTATGCACAAAAGATAAAAGACCAAGCTAGCACCAGGAGCAAAATGGAAGCCCAGAGCATTATAAATTTATGACTAGAAGTACTGAAAAATAATTCCAGTACTTTGGCCTTTTAGCTTTCATTTATTTATGGCTATCTTTTTATAATAGGTATCAAATTCTGAGCTATTGTTGAGAAGAGACAAATTAAACATTTATTTCCATCCCCTATGAGATGCACGAGGAAAAGGAGTCAGAGCCAAAGTGACAGATTGAAGACAGAGATAAGCACTTGGAGTTGAGATTGAAGTGCCATGCTCTGTATCTAGTTATCCCAGCTGGGCTTCGTCATTGTCTTGGTGGTGGCACCATCTTGAGCCATTCCTTTTATGGGAATAAAAGGATCTTGGGAAGTGGCCTGGTTCCCTGTGCAGGTGAAAAGTCCTCGTCAGAGCACATCCGCTCCTACAGAAAGGTGCTCAGGAAAACGGTTCTAGACTCCCTAGACTCCTGTAGGTAAAGCTCTAAGTTTAAAAGAGACACCAAAACATTTAAAAAATATTATGTAAAAGTACAGAAAGGACAAGGTCAGCTCTTTTGTTTCTCACATCTCTAAGAGGACCGTTCCTTACAGACTTGGGTATCTCCACCTATTATAGAATAGCTTTTTCAGCAGATTAACAGTGTCTTGAAGGATGTGATACATTTAGAAAGACGACCAACTTGTAAGACCCCAGAGCATGCTGGGAGTGTGGCTATTTTTCAGAACAGGGTTCAGTTCCAGCAGTTGCATTGCCATGGAAACAGATGCACCAGCTTCTACCACTAGTTGCATGTTGAAGACATTTAAAGTAACATACAAAGGCGACAGTTAGGAATGGAAAATGAAGCAGTATATTTGGGGGGGGGTAGGAAGGAAAAATGGAAGTTCAAGTAAGGAAGCTCAACAAATAAGTTCAAATCCTATTACCTTCTCTTCCATCTCACTTCCAGCTCCAGGGAGATTCAGAGGACTCGGAGAACTTGGCGTATCACTGGACTGGAACAGTAGAGAGAGCGCTTGAGTCAAACGCAGGAACAGGAAGTTCTGGGCAAATAACTAGACACTGGCTGGGGCCTGGGCAGGGCTGCCTCCTCCCACACAGGGGTCAGCTGGCCTCAAAGAACCAGCACGAGTCACCGTGAGGACTTTGCTGACAAGGACTACCTGAAGTGCAGAGGGGCCACCATCCTCTTCCCGAGTTCAATGCACTCCCACCTGGGTAGTCCCCACCTCAGCTGTGTGTTTCTGTCCACTGGCTGAGAGAAGCTCTGGGCGGCTCATCAGCCACCTTACCTGGGAAACGGAGCTGCGTTACACACATGGCCTCCAACCTTGGAGCTCTCGCCTTTGCTGGCTCTCTTCCCCCCTTCACCTGTCAGATCTCTCCCCTCTAAGCAAGGATGCAAAGGGCAGGGCTGAGAAGGTGAAAGCCCAGGGAGGGGAACAAAACCACAGAAGGGAAGGAGAAGGGAAAGGCTGAAGACTCACACCCCGTGACCTAGGCACCCTCTGAGAGCACCCCAGTAGGTCGTTTGCATGTTTCAGACTAGTAGACCTGCTATGTCTTGTGGTGCTATTTTATACAAAAGGATTTGATCTTCCTTTCCAGTTTGCTATACCTAAGTCCATTCTTCACATCACACTTAGGAAAATCTTTAGAAAATACAAACCTGATTAAAACACTACTCTGCTTAACATTACTCAGAGGTTTCCTATTGCCTTCAAAACAGAATTCACCATTTCCCCACGGTCTACGCCACCTGGCGTCACCACCTCCTCCCTTCTATCCCAGTTGGGCCATCTGGCCTGCTTCCTCGTCCTCTTTTGGGGATGACTTCTTTTGGCCTGTCCTGGGCCTCTCTGTGCTGGGATAGTTTTCCATCTATCATTGCCTGGTCTGCTCTCAACTTCATATGCAGAGATGTATCCTGTCCCCCACCAAGTTATTCACTTTTGCGTTACTCTGTTTATTTTCTGTGTGGCCAACACTTTTCCCAATCTGAAATGATTATATTTATCTATTTGTTGACTTGTGTGACTCCCTTCTCATTAGGGTGTAAACTACTTAGAAGCAGCTCCTGGGCAAATCTTGCCCATCTCCATAACACCCACATCTAAGACAAGGTCTGCTGAACAAAGATCCTTTCTTCTTCTAAGGCCACGGCACCTTGCACTTATGAGGTCATTGGTAACAGAAGAAGCTGCTTCAGTCCTTACAAAATCTCTGCCTCAAGGTGGTGGCTATTGCTGTGACCCTGGCATTGGAGAGGCTGGGAGAGCAATCTCAGACCTACTGCAAGGGAAGGATCCATCCCTGCTTCATCCACCACCCCAAAGGGTGTCAACATGTGAGTGCCAGGGGTCATCAGGGCCAGGCAGAGATGAACAATGGGATGGACCAGCCTTCACTTCCCTTCCTTGCTTTCCTCTGCAAATCACTTGCATCTTTCTTAATATTCTCATCATATATTAGCTGATAAAAGGCATGAATTCTTTTGAGATGCCCATTTTAATAACATCTGCCACAACTTCATGTTCCTTGATAAACAGAACTGAAAAAAAATGTTTTTTCCTTTTTAAAAAAACCATATGAAGTCCCATCCCTCATTTAAGAATTTCCAATTCTGGTTACTGGTAGGACTTTTGCTTCTTCTTCCATAAGTTTTTTAAGGTCATCCTTTTTGCTGGTGGAAAAACTCTCAATTCAGGATATGCTCAAAGCACTACCTTAAAGTGTCAACAGACCAAATTTAGATAAGTCAGCACTGGAATATGACTTCCTACACTAGGGTGACTTCAAGCTGGCCTGTTGATGGATTCTAGCTCACTAAACCCCTTTAGTTTTCTTTTTTCATTTCCCTTTAAATCACCGTAACCTGACAAGTCATTATACAGTGCACCTAAACAGGCACTAGCTACGATCTTGGGGACACCCAGATGGGTGAGACCCACTTTATCCTCAAGAAAGTCAGTGTTTTGAGATGGAGAGAGGAATAGTTCCATGGACAGACATGGATGGGAGATATGGGTGTGGAAACAGTGGTGAAGACGCACAGCACACGTAGAGAGAAAATACACTCAGAAGTGAGGCCAGGGGAGTGTTCCCAGAAGAGGTGGGCACAACCTGAGCCTTGAAGGGTACTTGGAAGGCACTAGAAAGAGACCTCACGGGCACCAGGAAGTACCCTCCACCCCTGGGCTACTTATCAGAGAAGCTTCTCCCATCTTGTTCTCCCCACTGCAGACTGCAGGGTCATGAGGAGCCTGTGTTCACTGCCTAAAGTCCTGTGAATGGCTTAGGAGCCATCAAGTCTTCCACAGCAGAGACTTACTTTGTTCTCAGCGTCTGAGAGGATGATGTCCTGCTGAGTGACAATTTCCATGGGACTGGCCAGGAACAGGTCCTCTTCTGAGCTGGCCTCTCCACTGCCTGCCTTCTTCATGGGAATGGCATTGGGTGGCCGCTGCCCAAACTTGATATTCTTGCCCAATTGTCGCTGGAGAGGAACAAAAGAAAGACATTCTGAAGCAGTGAAGCAGTCCCAAAAACCACAACCAGGTTCCCCAGCATATCTAGGAAGCGCTGAGGCATACGCCTGAGCCCAGCTGCTTCCTAGACCCACTGCCATGCCAGGGAACCACAGGCAGTCCTAGAGAACATGCGAGTCTTCCAGTCCCTTTGACTCTCCCATCTTCAAACCGGGACTTTTTTCATCTAGCCACCTCTTTCATGGAAATGCCAACATTTTTCTAGGGTACAGGCACCATATTTCTGAACCAAACGTTGAAATATGTTTTTGATTTTGGACTTGTCTATAAATCTAGAAAGTCTTTTTTAAAAGTACAAAAATTATGCAGAAAACAGTTACATGAAATGTAGAAACTCTGGGGGAAATGAAAGCTCTTAAAGCAGGTACAACAAGGGAAATTTCCAGCCTCTTCTGGACACGTTCCCTGTGAAAATTATTCTTCTACCATCTTCACCTCTGGCACCCAGCTTGCAACCCCACGCCAGACCTCATGCTTAGGTCATGGTGGGTCACAGCCACGGTGAAGAAGGTCCCTGGGCCAGCAGGTCTTTCCCTGATCAATGTCGAGAGCATATAAGGGATGGGAACGGTCCAGACTTCTTTGCCTTGGAGTATTTACACATCACGAAATAGGAGAGAGACCAAGACTGAAGGAACCAGGAGGAGAAAAGGGTCAAGGAGGGGTGGACCACTAGTAGATGGTAGTTACAAGGAGAAGGGAAGACAAATTGTATTTGGAATTAGACAAGGGCCAGATTAGAAAAGAAAAGAAAAAAGTCTCTAGATGTTTCCCAGTGTCCCTGGGGTTGGGGGTAAAATTGCCCCCAGCTGAGAACCACTGCTCTAGATAGTAGGTTCTTGAGTTTCACAATCCTTATATGCCTCAAAAAAAATTCTCTGATATTTATCTTTAATCTGGCTAATGTTTAATCTCACAGACCAGCAAAGAACCTTAGCAATCACCTATTCAAAACTCTTTACTTAATTAATAAATAAATAAGTAAGTAAGTAAGTAAATAAATGCCAGATGTCCCACAGGGAGAGGCAACTGGCCCAAGCTTATGGGAAGAATAAGTAGCCCCAAAGGAATCAGAACCTGAGTCTTCTTAAATTACATTAAGGTTATTTTCATTGCACTTCATCAGCCCTCATAAATTTGACAATGTCCTTCCTGCTTGCAGGGGCAGTTATATAAAGAGATGATGCAGCATTTAAAATATTTGTCTGAAGTTCCCTTGAGGGAATTGCCCTCTCTCCCTTACTCAATGGTACCAAATCCACCCACGTTCGCCCAGCTCCCCCACCCCCAGCCTCGCCTAGTGAGCAGGAACACACAGACAGAGACGGGCCCCAGCCTCCCTTCCCCTCGCGCCCAAGGAACCCCCGCATGCCCAGGCAGGAGCGGCAAGGCAAGGGCGGGGATCTGGCCCGCAGGTGTTTCAGCCTGAGCAGGGCTCCCCAGCTCCAAGGGGAAGGAGCACACATCAAAAGCCTTGAGTTCAGCCAGGGACGGGCAGCTTGAGCAGCCTGAAGGGGTTGCGGGGAGGAGAAGGTTGAAAAAAAGGTGTTTTCCAAAAACAAGCCTAGCAGGAAAGGGCAGTTAGTGTCTACCCTAAGCAGGTCAGTAAGCAGGCACGTGAGGACAGCGATGGAGTCAGACAAGAGGACAGGGGGTTGCAAAGCCAGCGGCCAGCTGGGTTCTGCTGCCCAGGGGCAGAAGACTGGGGCAGGTTCCTGTGTCCTCCCAGGCTGGCCTTCCTAGTAGTGTTGGCCAAGAGCTAGGGGCTGTCCTAAACCCTGTGACCCTGGACACCTCCTGTGAGCAGGGTCTGCTGATTGCCAATGCTCCCAATTGCTGAGATGCATGTGTTTCTTTGTTTAATTGACATATACTAATTATATGCTCTTATGGAGTGTGATACTTTAATACATGTATACAGGGTGTGATGATTAGGTCAGGGTAACTGGCATATCCATGACCTCAAACACTTATACTTTCTTTGTGCTGAGAACAAAGTTCTGTTTTCTAGCTACTTTGAAATACACAATAAATTGTTAACTAATATTTCAGTACATGAATACAATGTATAATTAGGATAATTGATATATGCATCATCTCAAACATTTATCATTTCTTTGTTAGGAATATTCAAAATTCCCTTTTCTAGCTATTTTGAAACATACAGTAAATGATTGTTAATTCTAGTTACTCTACAGTGTGCTACAAAACACTAGAATTCATTTCTTCTCCTAACAGTAATGTACAAACCAACTGAGGTGAGGTTATTTCTTGTACTTATAATGGAAAGAATAATTCTTTATTGTAATTCTTGGCCTAATACTCTGATGCCATTTAATTGTGAATAAATATGCTGATATTTTAATTTTTAGAATACTCATGTTGGTTCATTAAGATGCTTATGAGGCAAAAAAAAAATGAGGCAAAATGTAATCACATTCTAGACTGAAATAACTGCAAAGTTGGGATGACTATTGTGGCCACAAAGGAAACAGGAAAGAGAACAGAAAGAAACAAATAAATGAATAAGAATAGGGACAAGGGGCTGGGGTTGTGGCTCAAAGGTAGAGCGCATGCGTGAGGTACTGGGTTCGATCCTCAGCACTACATAAACATAAAATAAAGATATTGTGTCTACCTATAACTTAAAAAAAAAAAAAACCAGGGACCATACAGTACCGGGGGCATGTTCACAAATGAGGTAGAGAATTCAAGAGGTGGGTTGAGGGAAAGGTGCTGGGGACAGAGGAAATGCATAGGGAAGAAGAGAGAGAAGGGCCCAGAGAGAGCTGAAGGACTGCTGGCAGTTCCAATAGCTAGGGGACCTGGGGGACAGAGAGAGAAAAGGAGGAAGGGGAAGAGGACAGGAGGGAATGACTCTGTGTGTGTGTGTGTGTGTGTCAAAAGGTTGATTTCTATCACAGATATGTTCATCCTGGCAAAAGAAAAACACTGCTGTTGCCTTTGGAAATGAAAATGTGCCTCTTGGTACAGGAACAGATTTGAAATCCCCCCAGAGAAAACAGATTCAGGCAAGTGGTTTGGGACCTTGGGGTGGGGCTGAGAAGCAGGAGAGGAATGGTAGCAGGGATCTGAGTAGGGCTAGTCTATGTGTCCAGACAAAGGACTGTCCTCACAGACATGTTCTGCAACTGTCAGGCACTAGAGGTCAGGGCAGGACTTAGGGTCCAGGGCTATGGCCATCGATCCTCGCACACCCAATGACCAGGAGCTCCCACCCACACGTCCTCCCTGCAGTTCCTCCTGCAAAGGTCTCCTTCAGCCTCCTCAAAGGAGACTGGGCAGTTGTGACATTTTGTGAAATGTACTGACAATTAAAAGGTAACTGCCAAAACCTATTGGGCAATCTCAGGTGTCACTTGAATTGAATATTTGGATAAACATGGCTTTTCTGTTACTCTAATTTGTGTGCTACTCATTGTCACGAGAGGAACTATGACATCAGTGAGCAGTCATCTCAATAAGATGAGGTGGTCTTAGGTTCAGAGACAAAACTACTGCTCTCCTCACTTTTTTTTTTTTAATACCCATGAACTGTCTTTATACACACTGCAGTTATTACTTGTGTCTATATTGAGTCTATTGCGGGGCTATGAATGGAGTTACTGTTGAGACCAGAATGTGAGCTAAGAGGAGCCATATTTTATTCATTCATATTGGGCCATTTTGTTGTAATATGGAATGCCAGAGAATGACGCTACAGGAATGCACATCCATATTCATGAGGTTTGTTCCTATGGTGAGGAAATGCCAAGCACATCATATTCTGTAGCTCTCTCGTTGCCAGTGTCTAGAATTCCCCAGATTTTTCATGGCCACTCTTCAGACCATAATTGTAAGAGTTAAGCAGAGGAACAATAAAGTTCCTGTCTTCTTGAGCAAACTACAGATACTTCCATTGTTAATGTGAATTTTTTTTAAAAAGGAAAGCATAACAATTTAAAAACAACTGCTCTTTAAAAGTGACTTTAGAAGTGGCTAAGTGCACGTGTTTATTCTTTGTGTCCTTGATAGCTGCATTAGTTGTCAAAATGCTCAAATGTATGATTTTTGGTATTTTTAAGTGAAATCCAGCTCAGTGGGAGATACTAGCTACTGAGGATGAAGGTTTCCCTCCTATGCCAAACAATCCATGATTCAATATTTCCTTGACAAAATTCTGGTATAATTGTATAAATCACCCACAGGCTTAAAATATGATACCCCTGACTTTTCTCATTGGCCGGGACATAACCTCATAGCCTGGTCTGATCTCAAGGAGGCACTCTCCCAATCCATGCTGCTGGAAAACTGTAAGTAGTGTCAAGGTCATTTAGTCCAAATGCCACAAAGTTTAACACGTATCTAGCCACCTTGCACAACAGCAGGTGAACAATGACTTCCTAAGGTGGGGCAGATCTTAAGAACCAGAAGGGTCCTTCACATTGTCCATCACAGGCTTCCCCCTTATCAAGGTGGGTGAAGTGAGCATCAGAGAGTTTAATGGCTTCTTTACAAGGCCACAGAGCCAGATGGTAGCCGAGGCCTGACACACTTTTTATTTCACCTAGATCCCTCCGTGGTTGACCTTGAACTTGTGATCCTCCTGCCTCAGCCTCCTGAATTGCTGGAACTACAGGCATGTACCACCATGCCTAGCTGTATTATTTTTATACTCAGAAAAAAAATTAGTTTTTCTTTTAAAAGGTTCAATAGTTTGCCACAAATTTTTTAGCAGGTGATAGGCTGGCTTTATTCAGGAAAGGACAGATTAATTTATGCTATATTCAGTTAGTCTGCACTGAGATGCTAACAGCTGCCCATCTACCATGACAGCTCTAGGTGAGATGACTGCTGTGGACACTGGAGGGCAGCCTTGCCAAATGCAGAAAGACAGATGCCCTTCTAGGAGTTTCCAAGGGTTTGAGGGCTGGGCAGTTTTTTAAGCTATGGAGAAAAAAAAAAATTTTTTTTTTTTGAAATGGCATTCCAGTAGAAATCTCATTTCAAAAGAATGTCTTAATATGGTGGCTAATCAGCTCATCAGGACATTTACTGTGTTATCCATCCCATACCTCTCTTTAAAAATAAACATACACATATACACAAAGACAATTCCAGACATGAAACATACATGCCTCTGACACGCTGAACTCTCTCATTCCATGCTGGAGTTTACGAGGGGGCGATCTTTTATGCTGCTTACTAAGCATTGACACCAGCATAATGTTGTCATGGAAAAATGCAAAGCATTCATGCAAGTTAATAAAGTTACTACTATTTCTACGACTTACCAGGAACATACTGCTTAGTCGACTGAAAAATAAAGCATAGTCTTTTGGGGGTGATACAGTCACATCTTAGGTTACTCCAAACTCACATTTGCTATGATCACGGTCCCCATTTCCCTCCTTGAAGAGCAAAAGCCTTTTGTATTTTCAAAAACCTCACTACCAAGCTGAAAGGAAGCTTGTGACTCCATGCAAGCAGAAGCAAAATTAGGCAGACCTTGTATGAGGAGATGTTATCAAAATGAGAGCACTCAAATCATTATTTTGCTTTATTCACATTTTTCTTCTTGTGTTAAAAGAACGGTCACTTCAGGAAAGTTAGTTATTCGATATTTTATTGATTAAACAGATCAGATTATTTAAAATCATGCTTATTGGTAACAAATCCTAAGCACTCACATATTTTTCACTAGGTTTCTATATTTTCAATACTACACAATTGCCTCATGGATTGTCGTGAACATTAAACTGGACAACATCTGCGGAGATGCCTACCATGATCTCTGGCATTTGGTAGCTTCTCCAGAAATACTGTATTGATGAATCTCAAGTATTGTCCAAAGTAGCAATATTAACATAGGTGACCACAGGTTTCATATTCCATCTCTTTTATCAAGAATGTAAATGGCAACTTTATGATATACTAAATATCTTAAGTATTGTCACAACCAGTTTTTGGAGTGGTGGTGGCATGTGGTATGTTACAGAGCACCTATCATTGAAGACAACAGGCTATTGTCTTTTTTCAAGAAATTCTAGAAAGTTTTTATATTTTACAAATATAGCTATTTCATACCCTGAATTCTGCACGTCATTCGTCTTAGAAAAGGAATATGATGAGCCAGGAGTTCAAAACCTATTCGAAATAATATTCTAGAAATCAAAAGACTAGAAGGGGGAGGGTCAAGGTTTTCCCTGGCCATGCCCATTCTCTCTTCTTCTCCAACCGATGGGAAGTGACAGCCTGCTTTGCCATCAGTCTACTAATCGGCTCATCAGAGCACAGCCAGCTAGAACCAGGAGTGGGAGCTGGTTGGGCACGCTGGGATATGAGGGACAGGCCTGGGCTGGCTCTGCGGGCAGGACTCTGGCCCTGGGCAGCAGTGGCCACAGGCATAAAGATCTAGGCATGCCTGGGTGTGGTTACAGGGTGTTGGCTATTCCGCATTCACCTTTGGCTGAGTGTGTATGGAATATGTGACCAAACACAGGTCACAAAATACAAAGCTCATGCTCAGGAGAACAAGAGCAGCTCAAGAAAACAAAATCTCCTTTTGGGTACAATGCTTCATCATATCAGTAGCCACTCAGGTCAGCTTTTCCTCTTTCCCTCCCCCTGTCCCTTATTCATTCACTCATTGTTGTAGACTTACAGACAGATGAGAATCCAGAGCCCTCTGTTCAAAATCTGGGTAGCCTCTAAGTGCTTCCATCTCAGAGAATGCTTGCTTTGGCACTGCTCTTGGGTATTTGGGGGCAAGGGAATTCTATCAAGAACTGGGGCAAACCTACCGCCATACCCTCAGTGTTTTTGGTCTTCTTTCTTACCCTGGATTCTCATTATTTTGATGGCATTTGGTAAAGGATCATTGTCTTTTCATTGCTAGGGAGTCACTCCCCGAGTCAATTTTTACGTAGGAAAACTGCCCCATCCTGCAGCATGAACAGGAGGGAGCCTGTGGTGTTCCTCTAAGAAAAGGTGGCTGGGGAGCCAGATTTACAAACACAGCAGAAAAAGTCTCATCAATCACTATCCACCAATAGAGACAGACAGTGAACATGTGCTATGTAGATTCCATTGGCAGGAATATGGGTTCATTTGGTCAGGAGATTTTTTTCCCATCCAAGCCCTGCAGATTCTCTTGGGTACTTGTTATTCTCATGTCCATTTTTTTTTTTAAGGAACAATTTGAGAGAAAAGGGGAGGGCAAGTCGTGCAGGTGGGTATGATGGTGATGTCTCATAGGGGCACAGGAAACTTCCAGAGAACTGAGTTAGGTTCAGGAAGGAATCTTACCAGGAGCGACCCTGAACCTCCCAATCCATCACTAAAGGATGAACTAGGGACTTGTCCACTTCCCTCCACAGCAGGACCCCTCCTCTGGCTCTGACCTTCCAGTCTTAAGCTGTCTTACCTGAAGAGTTTTGACTTTGCCCAGGATGTTGTCCTGTGACATTGCTTGAACTGTCTGCTCACTTTCTGCTCCCCCATCAGGGATAAAAATACTGTCATGGGAAAGCGCCCGGGTTCCCATAGAATAGTTGAAGGACCTGGAATGCAAATCATGTGCTTCATTTATTAGGATGATAAATTTCTTTTGGCAATTCAGTTTTCTGTTCTGACTTGAGGGGACTCCACCCATGTCCTCTGTCTCATTCAGAAATCGCTTCCAGCACTGTGACCCCTCCTGTTGGCGGTCAGCCAAGGGGCTAGATAGATGAAAATGTCCCCCAGGAATGGGAGAACATGGCTCTTACACAATCCTGGTTCAGAGCCATTCAGAGAGAACTCAAAGACTGTTAGTTATTTGCGGAGGATCCAGGGTAGAATTTACTGCAGAACTTTTAAATGGAAGAGCCTTTCCCAGCTGGGCTGTCATATCAGTTTTGTTCCAGGAAATCTTGCCAATCAGCATTTACTAAGAACATGCAGATCTAGAAGTGAGAGGCAAGAGTTTCTTTCATATTACAATCAAGTTGGAATAAAGATATGTACATCTAAAGCAAAGGCTTTGGAATAGAACCAGAGTTCCTGATAGGGAAAGTCAATGCTTGAGGATTTCAGAGAAGAGAGGAGGAATATGGATGGGGCTTTTATGACAGGCCTTATACATACTGAACACCTTACATGTGGTTAGCACCTGGCTGCTATGGTTTGTACATGGGGTGAACCCAAGTGTTTGTGCATTGGAAGCTTGGTTCCCAGTGTGGCAATGTTAAAAGACGGTAAAATCTTTAAGAGGTGGGGGCCTAGGTAATTGAGGCCGCTACCTTTGGAAGGAAATATGGGTGTTCTCGTGGGACCCTGGTTAGTTCTCACTAGAACTTTACAAAGAGCAAGCCCAGCCCCTCCTTGTGCTCTCAGGCTTCCTGCCTCACCATGTGAACTCTCCCTCTTGCACACATCCTGCTATGATGCCGTCCACCATGATGTGATATATCCAGAGAGCCTTTGCCAGAGCCAGCACCATGCTGTTTGGACTTTCAGGCTCCACAACTACGAGCTAAATAAATCTTATTATTTTTTTTGTTCTTATTTATAAGAATTTATTTTTATAATGCTAAGCAATAAATCTTATTTTTTATAGGTTACTCAGCCTCAGGTATATCATTATAGTAATGGGCAATGGAGCTGGGGGTGTAGCTCAGTGATAGTGTGCTTAGCATGCATGAGGCCCTGGGTTCAATTTCCAACACCCCTCCTTCAAAAAGAAAGGAAGAAAGAAAGAAAAAAAGAAAAAAGAAGAACAAGAAAATGGACTAATACTCCAGCTCTTTAGTGTAAAGGTTGGACTTTGAGGAAGTCCAGACTTCCATCTGCCATGAGGTATGAGCAGTGTGAAATGCAGGATGAGGAAGCTGCAGAAGCAAACTCCTTACTTGATCTTAGAAACTAACTTGTCTCTGAAAAAGAACACCTACCAACTCTCCCAGTTCCTCAGGGCAGGGAGAGAGATTCACCCTCCCTTTGGCAAGACAGCACATTTCCCAATGCCAGGCAACATGGTGGCACTCGGGAAGCAGCAGAGGGCAGTGAGAGCATCACTTCTCCCTCCCCATCCCCAGAAAGGGACCTCAACTGGAGGTTTTCTCAGTGAAGGAGTGCATGAGAATGCAGCCTTCCTGCAGATCCCTCGTGCTAATTTCGAAGTGCAGTGTGCAGGATCCCTGGGCAGCTGTACAGTCTAGACTGAGCTGGGAAGACTGGTTATAAAATTATATCATTTAATTTACCAAATTACGGGAAGTATGGCAAAGAGCATTTGAGGTGTGTGACATTAGGCAATAACACCACCAACTAAGCAACTAACCAACCAACCAAACAAACAAACAACAAATGAATCAGCCTTCAGTTTGATTTCATTTGTGCATTTGATTTCACTCTGTGCACTGAGGTTTAATTTCATTATCTCATTAATTCCTTATCACCACAATCTTGTTAGAGATGAAACATACAGTTGTGTGTGCAGTATATACCATTGCCAGGCTAAGTTCCACTCTAGCTTCTAAATCAATTGTGACTGTGTCATGAAGTTTATCACCCTTGCTTCTATTATTTTTTTCCAGGTAGGCTAAGAATTTTTTGCTGCTCTTCTGTGTGACCCTCAAATGTTCTTTGTTACCAGTCAGGATTCACTGTTTGCCCATCCCCCAGTTACAGATGATTACATTGAAAACAAGAAAAAAATATTAATAATATTGGTTGTAATAATTATAACAATAGAGGTAGTTACAATGTTAAGAATTAATTCTAGCTAAATTTTATTGGGCACTTAAGATACCCCTTAAATGTGTTAGCCTATTAGTGTAATATCTAAATCTTTAATGTATAAAATTTAAATCTTGGGTGGTATATACTATAATTAAGTCTATTTTATAAATGGGAAATTAATACTTAAAGACAGTAACTTGCCATAAATAAAGGGACTGTCCATATGTGAATCTGACCCTGGCCTCTGTACCCTAAGTCAGCTTGTCTGTTTTAACAGCAATAACCCCATACTTAGCTTCCAAATGAGTCTTGATAGCTTTAGTTTTTCAAATTTGATATTTGGGTCTTTTATCCCAAGAAGGCTATTCTTGTCCCTTTGCTTTACTATATAAGTCCTCTCTCTCTCTCTCTCCTCTCTCTTTCCTATGCTCCTGAGACGAATTTTGTGATGGCATTAGATACATAGATAAATTTTGGGTTAACCAATGTCTTCACAATATTAAATCTTTTAATCCATGAACATGGGCTACCTCTTATTTTTGGAGGGGGTACCAAGGATTGAACTCAGGAGCACTTGACCACTGAGCCAAATCCCCAGCCCTATTTTGTATTTTATTTAGAGATAGGGTCTCTTTGAATTGCTTAGGGTCTTGCTAAATTGCTGAGGCTGGTTTTGAACTCTAAATCCTCCTGTCTCAGCCTCCCGAGCTGCTGGGATTACAGGAATGTGCCATTGCACTCGGCTACCTCTTGTACTTAGAGCATCATTAATTTCTTTAAAGACTGTCTTGATAGTTTTCTGTATAGAGGTCTTATACATATTCTGATAGATTTACTCCTACATATTTGGTGGTTTCAAATTTTTATAAATGCTATAGGTTAAAATTCTTATTTTCTGATGTTTTATTGATGGAATATACAACTGTTTTTTGTTATATTGATTTTTTTTTTTTTTTTTTTTTTTGGTGCTGGGGATCAAACCCAGGGCCTTGTGCATGCAAGGTAAGCACTCTACCACTGAGCCACAACCTCAGCCCTGTTATACTAATCTTATAACCAGCAACTTTGATAAGTTTATTTACTAAATATATAATATAACTATTGATTCTTTTGGATTTTCTACATATTGCATCAGGTTGTATGCAACAAAAGACCATTTTATTTCTTCTTTTCACATTCTGTATTCTTTTCTTTTTTTCTTTCCATACTGAATTAGTTAGAATCTTCATATAAAATTGAATAGCAGTGGTGGTGGTGGACCTTGTAATGTTCTCAAACTTAGGGAGAAAACAATATTTCAGCACTAACTACAGTGTTAGCTATAAAATTTTTATAGATATGACTGTATCACTGCTTCTTTGAAAAGGCAAATAATCTGTCTTTTATTTATAGTGTAAGTTAAAAATTCATCTCGTTAACTTTGGTTTTCAGCAGTTTTTCTCTGACATGGCTGTGAACATCTTCTAATTTATCCAGTCTGGGGCACATAGTGCTTTTTAAATCTGAGGCTTGATGTATTTCATTAGTTTTGGAAAATTCTTAGCCCTTATTTATTTTTTTTTAAATATTTATTTTTAGTTGTAGTTGGACACAATACCTTTATTTTATTTATTTATTTTTATGTGGTGCTGAGGACTGAACCCAGGGCCTTGCACATGCTAAGCGAGCGCTATACCGCTGAGCCACAACCCCAGCCCAGCCTTTATTTCTTTAATATTGTTTCTGGTCATTTCCCTCTTAATCCCTTTCTGATATCCCCACATTAGGCCCTTTCAAAAATGAGTCATTTGTCTTTTATTCTCATGTCTGTATCTATCATTCTTCTTACTAAAAAACGATTCTGTCTAGATCTTTCCATGGACCTGCCTACTAGCAAATTCTCCAGTTTTTTTCAATCTGCTATTAAAATCCCCCACTGAATTTCAGAAGTCTTTTTTTAAATCTCAAATTTCTACTTATCTAATAGATTCCAATTCTCCAGTGAAACTCCTCCATCTCATCAACTAATTTCTTGACTATCCTAATCAAAATTACTTAAAAAGTCTCTGAAACTACAGTATCTTAGTCACCTCTGGGTCTATGTCTATTATCTTGTTTTCCTTGTACTCTTGTTTCTTAGATGCTTGGTAATATTTTACTGAACGATACATATGAAAAATTTTGGAGGTTAGGTTCTCTCCTTCCAGAGAGGATTCACACAACTCTCTTGTAGGCAGCAAATGGCAAGAGAGCAAGTCACTTCCGTCCAGTCACCAACAGCTGACTCATGGCTGGCCAGCAAACTTGGTAGGATTCAGACTACCTCTGTTGCTACTTCTAAGTCCTCTTGTAGTCTTAACAGAGAGCCTAGTTTATTTCCTAAGATCCCCCTACTTGGCAGGCTGGGAAACCCAATTTCTATCTTTCCAGTACCACAGGCTTCCAAAAACTCTGAACTGTCAGCTCTTTGCCTAATACTAATACTAATCTTATAACCAGCAACTTTGATAAATTTATTTACTAAATATAATAATATTTATTATATAATATAATAAATTAGCAAATGCCTCAAAAGGAAAACTCTGTCTAGATCTGGCTTCACTGTTCTGGACTTCTCCTGGGGATCTTAATCCCTTAAGCCCTGACTACCTTAGCACCCTCAAACTCCAAGTTTTGAGTTCCCGGTCCCATGACATTGCCTATAGCTCTGCTGTCTTCTCTTCCTATTGTCAACTACCCACAGACTTTCTGACCTCTTGCCTTGCACCAAAAATCAACTAAAGACCACAGGAGAGGAACAATACACGGAAGGCTGTGCTCAACCAAAGGTTCCCTTCTCTCCTGGATATCACTGCTCTGG